GTGAGATTATTCATGCAAAGCACTAAGTATGGGACCTGGCACCTGGGGAGTGGTCCCTACAAGGAAGCTGAGATAATGATGGTCATTCCCCAGGAAAGACTTCAAGACCCGTACGCCACCCCCCTCCCCTGTTCCACTTGTCTGGGTCCTACACTCCTCCTCTGCCCCTTGCTGCATCAGGAATCTGAAGGCAGCACAATAAGGTGCTAAGGCCTGTTGAGCCTCAGTTTCCTCATCTGTAAAATGGGCTTTGTAATGTTTTCAGTACAGGTTGTCAGGGCCATTCGATAAACCCTTTCACACCCGGGGCGCCTGGCACACACCAGGTTCTCAGGAACGAGTAGCTGCTCTGTTTTTACCACAATCATCAACAACAATAGCTACATGGATCTCTTTAAATATTTCTCCCAACATTTTATTATGAACATTTTCAAACATGAAGGAAAAGTGAAAGAATTTTCCAAGGATTACACACATCTACCTACCACCTGGATCCTACCATTAAACACCTGACTACTTTTGCTTTCGCCACACATTTGTTCGTTCCCCTACCCACCCGTCAGTTCATTCTCTGTCGTGATGAATTTCAAAACCGTGAGATATTTTTGTTAGGATTTTGAGGACTCGGTTTACACTAGCACCATTTTTAGCACTGTTCTTAGTCCATTACGTACACCCACTCATCTGGTTCTTAGTGACTCCCTGAAACATATCCAGTAAGCGGTGTGGTATATTAGCTCCCTTTTACAGGTGAGGAAACTGAGGCAAAGAGAAGCAAAGGACTTATATCAAAGGACTTTTACCACTAATGCTTACTCTTTTCTTCTCAGACTGGGGGAAGTATGCCACGCAGTGGGACAGCATGCAGCCAGTGTACGAGAATGTTTAGAAGACTCCGGTGACAATAGCCCTGGACTATGGCATGACCCTGATACAGCCCAGATCCCACGTCTGAGAAAAAAAAATGCACCAAGGAGGGGCACCCGCTGTTACCAAAGGTAGCTTAGGGGTAAGTGGACCCTGAGTGGTTGAATAAAATCCGTTGTTAATAATCGTAGCTACTACTGATTGCGTAGCTCTTTCTTTGTGCCCCACCCTGTATTGCAGGCTTTACATGCTGTATCTTCCCAAGCATTTGTGAGGTAGACACTGGCAGACCCACTTTAGAGATTAAGGCACTGAGGCTAAGAGAAGGGTAGGACTTGCCCGAGGCTCTCCTGGTTGTGGAACCAGGATCCAAATCCAGGCTCATCAGTTCCATGAACCATTAATTTCTGACTGTTTCTACCTTCTTATATTTCAGTAATAAGATACTATTACTTTCATAGTGGAAAACACTTTTTAAGAAGAAATTTCTTTATAAAAGCAGACTCGTTTATCCTTATTTTATTAGCCATGTGTGTTCCTTTGATGAAATGGAAAACCCTACTTCACACTCAAAAACAAGTTCTGATCAATTGCCAACTTAAATGTAATGCAAAATGATAATGTTTTTGGAAAATAACGTAAGAGAGTATCAGCATATTTCTGAGGTATGGAAACATTTCTTAAATAGGATGTAAAAGTAACTATCCTTAAGGAAAAGATTGAGAAATTGGACTATGTTAAAGATAAGACCTTCTCATACTCTGGTTTTTCTTTAGATCATATAAATATTTTGCCTTTTAAAGTTAAGACCTTCTGTGCATTAAAAAGTGCCATTCAGAGAGTGAAAAGGCAAGCCATTGAGTAGAAGATGTATATAGTATGTACAACTAACAAATGACTGGTGTCCAGAATATATAAAGAACAAGTCCATTTAAAAAATGGACAACCTGCCCTGGCTGGTGTGGCTCAGTGGATTGAGCACCAGCCTGCAAACCAAAAGGTTGCTGGTTCGATTCCCAGTCAGGGCACATGCATGGCTTGCGGACCAGGTCCCCAGGTGGGGGCATGGGGGAAGCAACTGATTGATGTATTTCTCACACATGAATGTGTCTCTTCCTCTTTTTCTCTCTCCCTCCCCCCTCTCTAAAAGTAAATAAATACAAATTTCAAAAAAAGAATGACCCAGTAGGAACGTGAGCAAGACACTTGAACAAGCCCATAATGAAAAAGGACATCCAAAAGGCCAACATGCGAATGAAAAAGTGTTTAATTCTATTACTTATCAGGGAAACAAACTAAAACTACAACCAGCTACCACTACACATCCAGTGTGATGGTTAAAATGAAAACACCTGATACGGCCAAGCGTTGGCGAGGATGTGAAGCAATGGAAGTGCCCAAACATGGCTGGAGGGGGGAGAAGAAATGATTACAATCACTTTGGAAACCTTTTTGGTGGTGTCTAGTAAACACACACACACACACACACACACACACACACACACACACACACACTCTGTGACCAAGCCATTCTCCTCCTGCCTTTGTATCCAAGAGAAACGTGTATATATGTTCACTTATGTTGTGAATGTACTAGGACAAAATATGTACTAGAATGATAAGCTCCATATTATTTGGAAGACACAAAAATGGAAACAATTCAGATTCCCAGCTGGCATATAAATAAACTGCGGTGCACTCCCACAATGCAATGCTACTCGGCAATGGGGAGGAATGGCCTGCGTTTCTACACCCAACCCAGATGAATTTCACCATCGTGATATTGAGAGAAAGAAGCTGGGCCCAAGAGTTCACACTATATAATTCTGTTTACATCACGTGGAAAGTAGGCAAAATGAAACCCCTGCCTCCCCTGCAGGGAGGCATCCTTAAACCTGAGTCGGGTAGAAGTCAGTAAAGTGGGGGCCTCCGCAGGGAGAAGGTAGTGCCCGGAGGAGGCAGCGGGGGCCTGTGGGAAGCTGGGAAGGTTTGTTTCGTCACCTGGGGGCGGTGATACAGGTGTGTTCCCTTTGTCATAATTCATTAGGTGGAATATCTATGTTTCAGGCACTTTTCTGTATGTGTGTCATACTTTACCATACTGAAGATTTGAATAATGTAAAAATGACTTTGAAAAGTAGGCTCACCATCGCTTATCTCCCAAACTGGACAGACCAGATGTCTCGGGTACAACATAGGATTGCAAGGGCTGCTTGTGGCATTTGCCTCTGTTCAGGGACTCTGCTGAGAGGTTTACAGCTGCTACCTCATTTAATCTCCACAATAACCCTTTGAGGTTGTTACTATTGTTGTCTGCATTTAGCAGATGGGGACACTGAGGCACAGTGAGCTATGCTCATGCTGGATCTAAACACAGGCCGTCTAGTGTCAGAGTATGTGCTCTGCTTAGCACCACAAGAGTCTTCACTCTGAAGAGTGGAATAAAAAATAGGGAGGTAGAAGTGTATCTCTCAAAACACAAAAGTATCTAAAAAGAGGAACTGGAAATAGTTTCACGGCCATTCTGAGAGGGGGGAGGGGCTGTAAGTGAGCTCCGAGCCCTCGCCCACCACGGTTCGAGTGGGGCTTTGCACCCAAGTGGTGCATGCCATTCAGCAGTTGTGTGAACTTCGATGGGAGAAACCATGACCTTGTTGCTTTTACTCTCCATTACTTTAGCAGTCCTCAAAATGCAGCTTGGGAATGCTGGTGAGCCCTCAAGACCTTTTCCAGGGGTTAGTGAGGTCAAAGCCATTTCCTAAAAACACTAATGTGAGTCTGTTTTTTTTCACCCTCCGAAGCCTATCTGACCTGTGATGACGTCACCACCCCGCTGGCTAATGGAACATATATGTTCACATATGTTCATATATGTTTGCATATGAACACATATGAATATATACATGTGCATTGTGTTTTAAAACTTCTCAGTTTTCTTCATTTATTTTTATTTTTAAATTCCAGTTGACACACGACAATATGTTAGTTTCGGGTGTACAACATAGTGCAGTTGGCCAATATCCATATTAGAAGCTGCACATACAAAAGCTCTTTGGGGCACCTCAGTGATTTTTTAAGGAGGTCAAGTTGGGCTGCTCCGCCTGTGGATTAGCCTTGTCTCTGTCCCACTGCCTCACAAATAAACTCTCTTTCACCATAAACTAAGAGAGAGTAGAGTCTAGGAACGGCGGGTGTAACTGAAATTGAGCGCGTCTTCGGTCGTGGGGCAGGGACAGTGTAGGGGGAGGGGTGGGACGGTGGGGAACAGGCCGCGGGACCACGGCGCGCCACTGGCTTCGTCATGAGGAGAAAACACAGACGTTTCCAAATCCCACCGCAGTCATTGCAGGACTCTGGCACAGTCACCCACACTTCTAAATGACCATGATTTTGTGACCTGCCGCTAGATCTTAAAGTGTCTTTGTTTTTATTTCTTTATTTTAATTCTCACCCACGGATAGGCTTATTGATTTTAGGGAGAGCAGAGGGGAGGGAGAGACAGAGAGAGACGTCGGTCCCACGGCCGACCCTGCAACCTAGGCCTGCACCCTGACCCCAGCGGGACTGGAGATGCGCCCCAACCAACGGAGCCACACCGCAGGGCTCGATCTCGAAGTTCAATGAGTTAAGAAAGAAGCATATAGTGTGCTGTACATGTGCAACTAATACAACATAATATTGAATGTATACTGTAACTGAAAGTGAAATTTAAAAAAGAAGCAAGTAATTCAAACATAGTGGTGTTTTAAAAGTTCCGCGAAGGATTAACTCAAACATAAGGGCTCACGAGCATGCGTTACTGTATCACATACTTGTTTTGCAAACATTTGTGTATCTGTCGCCAGACCTCCTGCTGCGCCGGGAACCCCCGAGCGGACTTTGGGGCAAGCCACTCACAAGCCTCCAACCCATCACAGACGTCAGCAAATTCTCGGTTGCTTCGTCCCGGACCCCGGGGCGATTTCTGGAGTTCATGCATTAATAGTGGAAATAACAGGCTGATTCTTATCCACCTGTTACTCTGGGCCAGGTGCGTTCTCTGCATGAAATTTCGTGCGTCAACAGGTTTAATCCTCACGACAGCCCATAGAATGAGTACCATTGTCACCTTCCTTCTGTAGGTGAGGAATCCCAGGCCCAGCGAGGTCGCGTAACCGGCCCGGGGCGCGCAGCTCGAAAGCAGCACTGACACCCTGGAGTTGGATTTTGCGTGTTCAGCCTGCCGGGGCAGTCTCGGGAGGAATCGGCGGGTTTAGCTTGCTGAGGGAGCGAGGTGGAAGGAACTGAGAGGAAGACGAAGCCGGCACGACCGGATGGGGTACCCCCAGGGTCGCAGGCCTCGGTGCCCGCGCGCCTGGGTACGGTGGGATCCTACAGGGCCCGGGCTGCGGGGCCGACGTCCGCACGTCGGGGGTCCCGCAGCCGCGGGGAGGGGCGCCGGGGGGCCAGGGCAGCCTTACCCGTCCCGGCGCTCACCTGGTGGCCGACTTGGAGGCGGCAGCGGCGGCGCACCAAACTTTTCTGGGTCCTCCTTCTCACGCCCCGCCCTGGGGGCGGGGGGCGGGTGGGCGTGGGGCACCCAGGACCGGCCAGACCTGTGGGACCCGGGGCCCCAGCTGTCTGCGGAGCCTGTCACCTGGAGAAGCCAGGCTCTTCCGGGGCTGGGACGGCTGTGGGCGGCGGGATGCCTCGGCGCTGCAAACTCATAAATACTGCAGCCGCACTGGTGGCCGGAGACCTGCGTGCGGGCAGTTGGTGCCCTCGAGGGTGAGCGGGGCACAGGGAGGGCGCCCCCCGCCTCAGCTCCGGGCCTCCGGGCCTCCGGGCCTGGCGGGTCCTGGGGAGCTGGAGACCTGACTGGAGCTGGCAGGAATGGGCTGCGGAGAAGGGGGGTGGATATGCAGGTGGAGATGGGGTGGGGGTGGGCGTGGGGGTCGCAAAGCCAGGATGGGGTTCTGGAAGGGGGATGGTAGAGGGGATGGAGCCGCTCCAGGTGGGATGGGCTTCTGGGGGATCTGGGGACGGCATGGAGAATCGAGGTCACTAAGACCGAAATAGAAAGCTGGAGGCTGGAGCTCACTGGTGAGGTCCCTGAGGGCAGGGCGGAATGCTAGGGATGCAGGGAATCAGGTAGAAGGCACCGGGGTTACTAAGGCCAGGATGGAATGCTGGGGTGGGGTTGCCAAACGCAATTTCCTGCAGGAGCCCCCATCCCACTCCCAAATGGGAGCGGGAGCTGTGGTTCAGAGCCAGGGCTCTGGAGCCGGGACCTCCTGGGTTCCAACACTGGCTCCATCACATCCCAGCCTTGCAACTCATCACTGGGTTGCTCATTTTCCTGACCTGTGCTTTGGGGCTGCTGATCACAGTGGCCACCACACAGAGGAATGCCGCGAGGCTCCCGGGACTTCATCTGTGCAATGTGCTTAGCACCCCTTGAGGCTCAGAGAGCATTAGCTGCCAGGGAGTGACCATTATTTTTGTTTGCTTGCCAGCATCTGGACAACCAGTTCCCTCGAAGACCTCCCTACCACCCGGCCTCCCCCGCAGTGACGTTACCTGGTGTCTCTCCATTCTCCTTCCTCCGGGCCTCTCCTACTGTCCCTGACCAAATCTGATCTACTCCGGCCCAGCCCCCCACCCTTCCCCCATCTCTGCACCCCACCCCTCCACTATGAGCCCCTGCCTTCCCTGCCGGTGCTGTTGCTGTCTGCTCCTGTTTTTCTCCCTGGGAATCCAGGGCATCCCACAGGACCCCAACGCTGCTCCGGAGCAAGTCCACCTGTCCTACCCAGGTAAGTGGGACCCCTCCCAGGGCATTTCCCATGGAGGCCCATTGGGTTGGGGTCTCAGGAGTCCCACACTGATTGCTGTGGGACCCTAGTCTGGTGGCTGACTCTTCCCGAGCCTCAGTGGTCCGCATCTGTTAAATGGGAATCACAAGCAGCGGTGCATCTGGCTGTGTGGGAGAAGGTTCTGGAGCCCAGCCTCTAGTGAGCGCTCTCCAAGGGGGCTGCTGTTGCCCACGCTCATGGTGTCACTGCTCACTGTGCTCCCACAAGGCTGCCTCCTGATTCTCGATCACGAGGTGGTCGTGCACTAAGTGGTCGGACTCCAGACTCTGAATCCTTTGCACCCAGATTCCCTGGGTTTGAATCTCAACTTTGCTGTGTGGCCTCGGGCAAACGACTTAACTCCTCTGGCCTCAGCCTCCTCATCTGCACAGTGGGTTGATAGCAGTGTGACCTCACAGTGAGGAATAAGTGATATATTACCTACAAAGTGGCAAAAATGGAGCTTGATGTGTGGCAGGCGGTCTCACGTGCGTTTGTCTCAGGACTGCTTAGCACAGCTAAAATTATTGAGAACCTCAAAGAGCTTTAGTATATGTGAGTTATATCCACAGTGTTTGCCATATTAGCAACCAAGACTGAGGCATTTAGAAATGTTTATTGTCATTTGAAGGGAACAATAATAAACCCATTCTGTATTAAGGTAAATTATATTTTTTCATGAAAAATAACTATACAAAGAAAAGAAATCTTGTAAGAAGAATGGCATTGAATTACATCTTTTTAAGTCTCTTTAATGTCTGCAGACAGTCAGGTCCTCCTCACATCTGCTTCTGAGCCAGCCTGTTTCAATATGCTGCTTTGGATGACATACATGGAGAAAATTGGGTCTCATGCAGACATGCGGTTGAAATAGAGGAGGATTTTGAAAGGAATTTCCAATAATTGTGGCTGTTTCTTTTCCACCAAAACCCAAATCTTTTCTCTTTCCTTCCTTCCTTCCTTCCTTCCTTCCTTCCTTCCTTCCTTCCTTCCTTCCTTCCTCCCTTCCTCTCTCTTGGTCCCTCCCTCCCTTTCTGTTTATTTTAGCTTTTTATTTTGAAATAATTTTAAATGTACAGAAGAGTTGCAAAGATAATATAGTTCCTGTACCCCTTCACCCAGCTTCCCTTAATGTTCATCTCTTTCATGTCCATGGTACTATCGTCAAAGCTAAGAAATTGACATTGGCATCACATTACTAACTAAAACATGGGTTTTTTTTTTTTTTCGGACTTCACCAGTTTTTCTGCTCATGTCTTCATTTTATCCCAGGATCTGCTGCAGGATCCCCTATTGCATCTAGCCACCGTGTCTCTGGTCCCCTCCTATCTGTGACACTTCCTCAGTTTTTCTTTGTTGTTTGTGTCCTTGACCCTTTTAAGGAGCATAATTTCTTAAAGATTAGTTGCAAGGTGGAATCTGCATGAATAAACTGGCTTTGGCACTTGCTAACCAAGTGACCTTGGATAAGGCACTTTGCCTGGGGGCCTCTGTAAAGGGAACAACACGAAGATCTGTATCTTGGTGCTGCTGAGAAAACCCAGCGAGATCACAGCTGTCCTTCGGCCCACAAAACAACAGTGGCGAATACACTTTGGGCTAGCGCCTCAGTTAGATAACACAGTGAACCTCATTTGGCCTTTAAGCTGTAAGCGCTGTTGTTTCTCCCCTTCTACGAAAGAGTGAACTGAGGCTCCCGGGGTGAAGAGTCTGCCCTCTGGGTCACCCAGTCTGCAAGTCAAACCTAAGCAGCTCCAGAGCCATGGTATTGCTTCTGAAACGTTAAATTTTGTACTGATTGTAGATTGAACAGAAATTCTGCAAAAATATTACAGAGTTTCTATATCCCCTTCACCCAGTCTCTCCTGATGTGTCTTACCTAACCAGGGCACTGTAACTGATGCCAGTTTCCTTGGTACGATGCTATTTATTAGCTGAACTACAGACCTGATTAGAATTTCACCAATTTTCTCATTGATTTAGTTATTCAGCAGTTAGTCGTGTCTCCTCCAAATCGGCCAATTTCTGTCTTTCCTAACCTTTGTGATTTTGACATTTTTGAGTACTAAGCAGTTATTTGGTAGGATATCCCTCACTTGGGGTTTGTCTGCAATTTTCTCGTGATTGGAACTCAGTGATGTGATTTTCTGGCAAGGCGACAGTCGGTGTGATGCTGTGTCCTTCCTACGTCCTGGTGTCGTGGCTTATCGCTGTTCCTGGTGCTGTTCGCCGTCATTGCTTAATCCCTGGGTTTCTCCACTGTACGGTTCTTATTCTTTCCTGTGTTGTTAATAAATATCTTGGGGAAGATTTCTTGAGACTACAAACATCGCGTTTCTTTTGAAACTTTTGCTCGCTAATTTTAGTATCCATCAGTGGATCCTGTCTGCAACAATTGCTGGTGTGGTGTTTGGCTAGCTGTAATCTACTAATTCTCTTTCCATCTAATTAAAATTTTACCCTAAGGAAAGGCTGTTCTTCCACCCTTTATTTATTTATTTATTCAATTATTTATTTATATCAGTAGGGGCTCGTGGATATTTATTTTATTCCATGGGTTAAAACCTATATTATCATTATTTATTTTGTGGCTCAAATTGTCCCTGATTTGGTCTTTTGCAGTTCCTTTGGATTGGCTTCTGTGTTCTTTGAACAAAAAACACATCTTTTGGGGGAGCATTTCCTAACTTTCTACCACCACAAATTATTCCAGGCTCATCCTATATATTTCCTGCCCCATCTCTGGAATCACCAACTTCTGCCAGGCTCCCTAATTCCTTCCATTGGAGAACGGGTATTTAGAGACCAAGGTCTGAGCAGTAGGTGTGCTCATTGCTAGTGAGGCATCATTGTTTCTAGGCCTTCTCACAAATGGAGCAAGGGCATACGTGTGTGTGTTTATAAGCATGTGCCACATCTATATTTCTGTATCTACATACACGCATATTAAATACAAGGGGATCATACTGACACCTTGATTTCAGTCCAACATCAAATGTTCGTTTGTTTCTTTTTTTGTTCATCCTCACCCAAGGACATGCTTATTGATTTCAGAGAGAGGGGAAGGGAGGGAGGGAGAGAGAGAAACATTGGCTGGTTGCCTCCCATAGGCACCCCGAAACTGGGGATTGAACTTGCAACCTAGGCACGTGACTGCAAATTGAATTGGCAACTTTTCCGTATATGGGACGATGTTTCAGCAAACTGAGGCGCACCAGCCAGGGCTCAAATGTGAATTTTTTTTTAAAGTTTATTGTTGCCTTCTGTACTTGTTTGTGACTGTTTTCTTTAACCTTGATACACCTAGCTCCTGCGACCTCCAGCATGCTTCCTCACTGGTTCAGTGCCGGTGGAGGCAGGAAGTGGCTTCAGAGCCGCTCGCCATGTCCCTGTGGGGACACTTCCTGGGCGACGGCGCCGCATGCAGCCCTCCCCCTCTGTCCACTCCAGGGCCCAGTCAGGGCTGCTTCCCACGTGGCTTTTCTTCCCCGCCCCTTCAGTGTGGTTACTTTATTCATTTTTAAATATAGTTTCAACCATTTGTTAGTATTTGTATTCCGCACTAGCTTCTCCTCGCACCCTGGGTAGTTTTGTTGGTTTGTTTTGGGGGAAGTATGAAGGAAATATGAAACATGACTATGATTCTAGGAGTCAGAATTTTTATGCAAAAAAGATAGACTCCCAGAGGCAGTCTCCCTCCTCATTCCTGCTACCCCGTTTCTCCTTGTCTTCTACGCCTTCCCTTCCCATCCACCTCTGGTTAGCAACCCATCTCTTCAGTTTCTGGCATAGCCGGCCTGCATTTCTTTTGTGCAAACGAGCACATCCTTGTGTTTCTTTATTGTACTCTCCTCCATGAAGAGTAGCTGACTATACATACTCGCATATGCTTTGCGTTTTGAATTTTACGTCCCGGATATCATTCCATACCCTAGAGTTCCTGGAGCTTGTCCTCTTTCCCTTTGACAGCTGCACGGTGCTCCGCTGTGTGCGCGTTGTAGAGCTCATTCGGTCACTCCGCGGTATGTGGGCGCTCCCGTTGCTTCTGGTATTTTGCGATTACACGCAGCGCCGCAACGTGTTACCTCATGCGTGTGCATTTTCGTGTTGCTAGAGGGAGAACTTCTGCTGTAAACGTTACACTATACTTCATAATATATTTTTTAAAGATTTTATTTATTTATTTTTAGAGAGAGGGGAAGTGAAGGGAGAAAGAGAGGAAGAGAAAGATCAGTGTGTGGTTGCCTCTCTGGCACCCCCTACTGGGGACCTGGCTCTCAACCCAGGCATGTGCCCTGACTGGGAATCGAACCGGGGACCCTTGGTTTGCAGGCCAGCACTCAGTTCACTGAGCCACACCAGCCAGGGCTACCTCACAATATTTTTAAAACCATGATTTGGTTGCTCTTTTAAGAATTTTGGAGAATCAAGTTCTTTTAAGAACTTTTAAGAATTTGGAGTAATCAATCATGTAAAAGTCTGCTTTTGAATATCTATCTATATATGCTCCTGGACATAAAAAAACACTGTATAAAGGTTGACTCTAGAAATGGACGGACCTGGTGGCACTGGGCCTGCTTCCTGCATGGCAGGTATCAGCCGAGCTGGGCGGTGGCTGCCCCTTTAAGACCCAGCAGGGCCTGCAGTTTGCCACACTCCCCAGAGCTCCCTACTGCCTTACTCGCTGCAGCTGACCCTTTCCTCCATTTATGTGACCTGGCTGGCCTCTAGACATTTGTTTGAGTTTATGACCCCTAAATGATATCATGTGTGCAACATGCTTGTCACAAAGGCATGTACACAGTAAATACTGATATTAATAATAATAGTATCCATTCACTTTTATAACCCTAACGTGCTATCCATTATTTCAAGTGCTTTACCTATTATTTGTTAATCTATGCCTCATATCAACCTTATAGAGTAGATACTATTATTATTCCACTTGACAGATAAAGTAACTGAGGCTTAGAGAGGCAGTGACTTGTCCAAGGGAAGCACAGCTTGGAAACGGCGGAGCTGGGATTGAACCTGGGAAGTTCGACTACCTGTGTCCTTAACTCCTGCGTGTTCAGGAGTTGTCGGTCCCTGCCCCTCGCTCTCTCCGCGCATCCCCCCCCGCCCTGCCCCGGCGTCACTGCTCAGTCCCTCTCTGTCCCTTTCTGCCTAGATGAGCCGGGATCCATGACCGTCACCTGGACCACCTGGGTTCCGACCCCGTCCGAAGTGCAGTTCGGGCTGCGGTTCTCGGGGCCCCTGCCGCTCCGGGCCCAGGGCACCGCCAGCCCCTTTGTGGACGGCGGCTTCCTCCGGCGGAGGCTCTACATACACCGCGTCACGCTGCGGGGGCTGCTGCCGGGCGCCCAGTACGGTGAGAGGGGTTCCGGGCCGGGTGTTCAGGGGGGAACGGAAGGGGGGAGGGAAAGGGATGAGAAGCCGGCACTGGCAGGTGGGTCAGGCCGGGCTGCCGACTCTGCGGCGGATGCCAGCGGTTGTCTGAGACCCTGGGACGGGAGGGGTGGGGACCTGGAGTGAGGTGCGCAGAGGGGCGCGGGCCAAACCTGTTCAGTGCCTACCCCGTTCCCTGCCCGACGGAAGGTGTGTGTGGGGGGAGGGGGAGGAAATATACTGGGGGCTCCCAGCTGACCGTGACCTTTCCCGTGTCCTTCCCCTTCCCTTCAGTTTACCGCTGCGGCAGTCCTCGGGGCTGGAGCCGGCGGTTCCGCTTCAGGGCCCTAAAGAAAGGACCCCACTGGAGCCCCCGTCTGGCTGTGTTTGGGGACCTGGGGGCTGACAACCCGAGGGCCCTACCCAGGCTGCGCAGGGACACTCAGCAGGGCATGTACGATGCTGTTCTCCATGTGGGTGAGGCATTGGCGAGGGCTTGCCCGGAGGTGTGGGGGGAGGGAGGCTGGGGTGGCAGCCACCCCAGGGCTGTGGAGGGGCCTGGGCAGGGCCCTGAAGGGACTGGGGACTGGTCTGGTTGTGCAGATGGTGTCTGGGGTGGCCAGACCGCCCAGTTTAAAGCCCCAAGTCGCATCCTTAGAGCCCGGCCTTCTGGTTTCCTCCCCGTGTTATTATTGTTAGAGCCCAGGCCAGTTCAGCATTCTCAGGACTGTTGTGATGACTAAATAAGTCGGCCTTGTCTGGTATGCTGTGTTAGTTGTTATCACTGCTGTTGTGATTTGTGGGGACAGGGAGCCAATGGGACGTGAAGACTGGGGCTGGTGTGGTTCAAAGCCACAGAGTCTGGAACTGGACTCCCAGGGTTTGCCTCCTGGATCTTTGCTAACCAGCTCTGCGACCTCGGGGGGAGCACTGAACCGCTTTGGGCCTCAGTTTTTCCACCTGAAGTGGGGATAATAATAACAACACCCACCTCAGAGGGTGTTTTAAAGATTTAAACGATCAAGCATGTAAAGCATTTGGAACTGTGCCTAGCATAAAACCAGTACCAGACTATGTCGGTCTTCGAGTTGTCGCTCTGGGAGGGCCCGAGAGGGCAGGCAGAGACGTGATTGGAGCACAGGAGACCAGGGCCCAGAGACTCGGGGAACACTTCCAAATGTGTACACGGTGGGCGTGAGGTAGGGATCAGAGAACTGGGATGGCCCAGCCCACACCTGAGCAGCCAGGGCTCTCAGTTCTGGCGAGAGCAGAGCTGGGTCTGGGTCCTCGCTCTCTAACCACCCCCCTTGCCCACCCCCCAGGAGACTTTGCCTACAACATGGACCAGGACAACGCTCGAGTCGGTGATGAGTTCATGCGGCTCATCGAGCCCGTGGCTGCCAGCCTGCCGTACATGACCTGCCCTGGGAATCACGAGGAACGCTAGTGAGGACCAGGGGCCTCAGGGTGGGCACGGGCCTGGCCAGTGAGAACACGTGTGTTCTTCTTGGTGTCTCACCTTAGTTCCTCATGCTGCAACAGCTCATTTGTGGTAGCGAGAGGAGAGGGAAGGAGAGGAGGGGAGGGACGGACTTCAAGCCAGACTTGACTTCATAGTCCTGGGAGGTGGGTGGGTGGGGCACCCAGACCCTCCCGCGCCCCCTAGCATTTTACTTCTCTTTATCCAGCAACTTCTCTAACTACAAAGCTCGCTTTAGCATGCCGGGGAACACTGAGGGCCTGTGGTACAGGTAAGCTGGAGAGGGGGCGGCTAGGGGACTGGCCTCCCTCTCCTGAAGGATGGGAGATGCAGCCAGACCCCATCTCTGACCCCTGCCCTTTGACCCCTCAGCTGGGACGTGGGCCCTGCGCACATCATCTCCTTCTCCACGGAGGTATATTTCTACCTCCACTACGGCCGCCACCTGGTAGAGAGACAGTTTCACTGGCTGGAGAGAGACCTCCAGGTAACCTGGGTAGAGGTCACCTCTTGGACCTGCCTCCCCTCCCCTCCCCTGGCCTCCACCTCTCACTCTGGTCTTTCTTTCTAGAAAGCCAATAAGAACCGGGCCGCCCGGCCGTGGATCATCACCATGGGTCACCGGCCCATGTACTGTTCCAATGCTGATGTGGACGACTGCACTTGGCATGAAAGCAAGGTGAGGGCCCCTTCCCTGGGGGCAGGGCGCTGAGACCCGGGCGGCGATCAGCCTGAGTCACCCCTCACCCTTGCTCCTCTTGCCCAGGTTCGAAAAGGCCTCTTCGGCAAGTTATTTGGGTTAGAGGACCTTTTCTACAAACATGGTAAGTGACTGAGGGTGGGCGGGGAGGCTCCCCAGCCCCAGGTTCCAACTCCTACCTCTCCTGGATCCAGGGGCCTGACCCCCACTTGCTCTGTCTCAGGGGTCGACCTGCAGCTGTGGGCTCATGAGCACTCGTACGAACGGCTGTGGCCAATTTACAACTACAAGGTGAGGCTCAGGGAGGGCTGAGGGCTGGTGTCTACACCCGTAGTCAGACTCTCTGGCACGGTCTGGTGTGACTCGCCCCTCTCCCTGGTCCCTTCTCCAGGTATTTAATGGCAGTCAAGAGATGCCCTACACCAACCCTCGAGGCCCTGTCCACATCATCACAGGATCTGCCGTGAGCAGGGCGGGGCAGGGGGCTTCTGACTTTTCTCTTATTCAGGGTCCCACTTGGACCAGCTGGGGTGCTGTGCGTTTCATAGTCACTATCACGTACTCAGCCCTAGAGTTTAGGTACACCTGGAAACGTGCCCATTACACAGATGTGAAAACAGAGGCCCAGACAGTAAACTGCTCGTTCAAAGCCACAAGTTCAATAGATTGCAGGGGCTGGGGGTTTGCCCAGGTGGAACAAACGCATCCACGGACAGAGGGCTTATTATTATTATTATTATTACTGTAACGGAACTCCAGACTATATTCCCACTCCACCCCCTCTCTCACTAATGACCTTCTTCTGTTCTAGAATCCCACAGAGTATTTAGTTGTCGTGTCTTCTTAGGCCCCTCCAATCTCTGACAGTCCCTCAGTCTTCCCTGGTCTTCGCACATTTGCCGACGCTCATGTCTTGGAGAGCGACCTCAGTTTGGGTTTACTAGACATTTTCTCAGGCTGAGACTCGGGTGATGCATTCCGGGCAAGGCAGTCACAGAAGTGATGTGTGTCCTCTCCGCGCTTCCTAGCAGGGGGCGCATTCCCTCTCAGCGATTCCCAGGGGGCGCATGTCGATGGGTCTGTCCTGCAGGTGATTCTCCGAGGCATTGGCTTAAGGAGGTGCCTGCTGGACTCCTGCTCCACAGAGTTATCGTATCTCCCATTTTAATTAATAGGTATCTTGGGGGAGATTCTTTCACACCATGCAGCTGTTCTGTTTCTCCTCAAATTTCACCCACTAATTTTCGGCTGTCGGTGGGTCTAGCCTGCAACAATGAATGCCGTGGCGCCCCCCTGGAATCTTCTATTTCTCTCATTCCTCCTAGATTTATTAGAATCCTCTTGTGAGGAAGAGCTGTCCCTCCCTCTGCCTCATTTATTTGGTTAGTTAGTTATTGATTTGTAACTACGTGGTCTCGTGGGTAATTATTTTGCTCCGTGGGCTACGATCCAGCGCCGTTGCCTGTGTTGCTGCCCAGCTGGCGTCTCAGCTCTGGCCGTTGGGAAACCTCCGGGTTGGCCCCTGTCCCTCTGAAAGGGGCACCTCCTTACTTTCTGGCAGCGCAAGGCGCTCCAGGACCATCCTGTAGTGTTTCCCTGCCCCCACCTGGGAATCAATCACTTCTGCAAGGAGAGAAGTCTTACATATTTATTTAATTCCTCACTCAAGGATATGCTTACTGATTTTAGAGGGAGAGGGAGGGAGAGAGAGATGCATCGATCTGTTGCCTCCCCTACGCGGGATTGAACCTGAAACCTAGGTGTGCGCCCTGACCAGGGATCGAACCCACCTTTTGGTGTTCGGGACAACGCTCCAACCAACTGAGCCACCCAGCCAGGGCAGAGAAAGCTTATTTTTTAAGCTGATTCTTACAGATTAGTAAGAGCCTCTCATGATGAAAATTCAAGCTGTAGAGAGGGCAGGAGGTGAACACCAGCCAGCCACGCCCCGTCTTACTCCCAGTCTCCGTGGCATTTTAGAATGTTCCCTGTATGTGCAAATGAGTAATTGTCTACACAGAAATGGGTTATGGCATCACCCTCTTTTCAAAACAACTCGAATCATGCTTCATACCCTTGCAGCTCTCAACCTTGGTGCTTCTTAGAATGACCTGGGGAGGTTTTAAAACACCGGTGCCTGGGCCCTTGCCCAGACCGCAAGGGGAACCCCCCCGGGGGGCGGGGCCCGGACGGCGCCGCCCGGTGTAGCCAGGTCCGGAGCCGGAAACAGAAGCTTATCGGCACCAGAGGCTCCTAAGGCCCATAGGTGATTGCTATTCTGATGTGTCTTAGCACAGATTAGTTTTTTCCTTCAATTTAAAATTTTGAAATGATGTCAGACTTACAGGAAAGTTGCAATAATAATACGAAGATTTTCCAAAAGGGAACCTTTCATCACACCTGTTTTAATCTCTCTCTTTATATATATACGCATATGCATGTACATATGTGTGTACACACATTTTATTATCATTTTCAGATCCAATGAAGAATAAGTTGCCGAAATGATGCCCCTTTACCCTTTGGTCTATATTTCCTAAAAAAAAAAAAAAAAACAAACCAAGGGCATTATGTTATCTCTCGTCACTACGGTGTAATAATACAATTCAAGTAGTTAACCTTGATAATGTACTATTATTATCTAATCTACAGATCTCACTCAAATTTAGCCAATGCCCCATTTGTGTGCTTTAAATCAAAGCAGAGAGATTTTTTTTTTCTGGCCCAGGATCTAGTCTAAGTTCACATGTGCTATTCTGGTGTCTTGCCTCTTTAGCATCCTTTAATCAGAAATGTTTCCTCGCTCTCCAATCTTCGTGACCTTGAAAAATTTGAAGAGTACAGCAAAACCCTTTTGTAGAATAGCCCTCAGTGTGGGTCTGTGTGCTCACGGTCAGGTGGAAGTTACACCCTTGTGGTAAGCATACACAAAAGAGACGTGTGTTTTCAGGGAACACTACTAGGAGGCGCGTGGTGTCTCTCTAACCCCTTTAAGCCTCAGCTTCCTGTCTGTAGATGCGGTGGGGACCCGTCTCACTGCTGCTCAGTGAAGGTGGTATCTGCCGGCCTCCCCCCCCATGCTCCTCCCTCCCCTTCATAATTAACAAGTGTCTCCTGGAGATATTCTACAACCATGCAAATATCCTGTTATTCTTCAAACTTTCACCACTAGTTTTGCCATCTATCGATGATTTTTGCTTCACTCAGTGTTAGAATGATGGCTGCAAAATGCTGATTTCTTTCGAGGTCCCTCATTTGTCGGGCCCTCTGCTGCAGGGATGAGGTCTCCCTCCGCCCTGGGCGCGGGTGATTTTAAAAGATGTTCTTGGAGGGTCTGCTGGGCGGCGAGGGTTGGGCCTCTCTGATTTCTTCTCTTCTGCAGTTGCGTTTTCCCTTTAATGGTACATCCTGGTCATGTTTCTGTATTGCCCTGCTTCGCGATGGTGATGCTATCATTTGCTTAACTGACCCCACAGACGGGCATTTGGGTGGCTTCTAGCTCAGGGCTTTTGCAGAAAATGCTGCAATGCAGTCTCGTGCGTCCATGCACTTTCTAGAAGACCTGCGCACCGGAAGCCTGGCTGGGTCAAAACACTCGATTGTGAGCATGATTGAGGTCAAGTCTTAACTGACGCTGTCTTCCCTGGGGGCAGCAGGGCCCTGGCCCGGCAGGTTCTTTCTGCTGCTCTGCGGGTCCCCGCACTCGCCCCGACGCGGGTCTGAACGACTGTCTCCCACAGGGCTGCGAGGAGCGGCTGACTAGCTTCACCCTCTTCCCACGGCCCTGGAGCGCCGTGCGGGTGAAAGAGTATGGGTACACGCGGCTACACATCCTCAATGGGACCCACGTCCACATCCAGCAGGTGTCTGATGACCAGGTCAGTGAGGGGTGCCTGAGCCACCAATCCGAGTAGCCAGGCTCAGCGTGCTCTGGAGCCGAGGACTCTAGAGCTGGAAATCCTGGGTTCAAATCCTGCCCCTGCCACTTCCCAGCTAGATAACCTGAAGTAACTTACTTAACTTTGAGCCACAGTTGTCCCATCCGCAAAATGGAAACATTTAATAGTTTCTCCCTCATAGGATTTTATGGGGGTTAAGTGACTTATTATGTATAAAATGCTTAGAACAGCTTCTAAAACATGGTAAATTCTGTAGCTATTCACCAACTTGAAGCAGGGGGAAGAGATAGATGGTGGGAGGTGGGTAAAGGAAGCCGCGTGCGTGGTCCTGCTGGTATAAGGTTAGATGAACCCATTATATTGTCATTATAATTTTAAAACAAGGATAATCACTATGATTTGTTGAGCACTTATTGTGTACCAGATGCCGGGCTAGACACTTTATATTGAGCAGCACCTGAATCGCAACAGTCCATTGCGGAGGATTGTCTTTTCATTTTAGAGATGAGAGAACTGCGGCTCAGAGAGAGGAAGTAATTTTCCCAGGGTCACACAGCCGGAGGGTGGCGAAGCTGGTATCTGACCCCAAAGAACATGCTCTGTTCATTACAAATAACTACCGTTCTACTGAGTGGCTCATGCACCAGGGGCAGGCTTTCGTGTGTGTTATCTTTTTCGGTTCTCCCCAGTTTACAGAAGATGAAAGCTGGGCTCAGAGTTGGGGCATGTGCTTAAGGCCACATAGAGGGTGGCTCTCCTAGGATTAAAGTGAGGATTTTGTCTGACTCCAGGGTGCGCTCTAATAGCAATAACCTGAACTCACACAGTCCTTGTCAAGTGCCCTTTTCGAATATCTCATTTAATGCCCACAACATCGATGAGCTATGTACTATTACTATCATCCCACCTGGCAGATAAGGAAAGCGGAGGCTCAGAGACATCTAGCAATTTGTTGGAGGTCACACAGCCCATCAAAGGCAAAGCTGGGATTTGACCCAGGCCACCTGGCCTCTGAGTCTGGGCTTGCAGCCCTTTATACCTTCACTGTTTTTGTTCCTTGCAGGATGGGAAGATTGTGGATGATGTATGGGTGGTGAGACCTCTGCTCCACCGGATGATGTACCTCTAGGGAGGGAGCAGCTCTCATCAGGAACCACCGGCCTTGCTGCCTTGGCTGGTGCAACAGGACGCTACCCAGGCCCGGCTGGGAGTCAGGGCTGGCAGGCTGGGGAGTCAGGGCGGGCCTGGACTCCTCTGCCTTCCTGAGGCCCCTCGTGGGTGAATACAGCGTGAGGGGGCCGGGCAGCTCTCCCCCTCCTGGAGAGGCGAGGGTCCCGGCAGCTGTGCTGGAGGGCAGGTGTGGACACACACACAGACAGACTCAGGTGGGTGGCACGGCCTTGCCCTGCTGCATAGCACTGACTGGGCGAGGTGCCACAGGCCTGGGGAATAAAGAGGCTTGTGGCCGTGGCTCCGTGGACTCTGCACTTCTGCTGGGGGCGCCCCCTGGGCTGCCCCTCTTCTGTCTGTGGGGGCAAGAAGCGTCACCAGCCTCAACTTGCAAGGTGGACACGGCCATCCTGGCACCCCTCTTCGGCAGGTGGCGACAGTGACTTTCTTCCCTTCAGCCGCCCCTCAGTGCGCCAATGGCCAGAAAGTGCTAAGAAACGTCCCTTTGTGCCACCGTTTCCCAGCCTGGCACTGACTTACCCCGGAAGCGGAGAAGTGTTAACACTGCCTCCAAGCTGGGGCGGCTAGCAAACCTGGGTGTTCACAGACCCGATGTTTTTCTCCCTTCTTCCACCCCCCCACCCTGTTTCCCTTCTTCCTTGCACTATTCAACAGCTATTTATTGAGCGCCCATCATGCACCAGGCCCTGCTCTCAGTACCGGGAGACAGCCACGAACAGGCAGAGAGCTCTGCCCTAGTAGAGCTGGCATTCTACCCAGGGGACAGACAGTGAACCCAATAAATAAATAAACTACACAACAGTGTCGCTATTTAGTGTTGAGTGCTCAGAAAATGTAGGAAAGGGGATGGAGAGCAGGGGAGGAGTCTGAGGGAGAAGCCAGGTGAGGAACCCAGCTGGCAGTGCTCCGGGCAGAGGAAAAGCCAGTGCAAAGGCCCTGAGACAGAAACGTGCCTGCCCTGTCAGGGCATCAGTGGGGAGGCCGGTGTGTCTAGAGCGGAGAGAATAAGGGGAAGATGGAGGCAGCAGGGTGATGGTGCAGATTGTCTGGGGTCTTGTGGGCCATCGGGAGGACTTCGTCCTTTTTCCTGAGTGAGATGGAGCCACAGGAGGGCTCTGAGCTGGTTGGCAAACATGGTGTGACTCCCGTAGTTCTAGGCAAAGGCTGAGGCCTTCCTGGAGGGAAGCCCTGGAGTCCCAACTCTGGCAGCCGACCTCGGTCTGTTCTTCCCCCTCACTGACACTGTCGGCCTGCCCACATCTTATTCCCACCCACTGCCGCTCAGCCCAGGGCGCCATGGCTCCTGGCAGTTTCCGGGACACACCGAGCTCTTTCTCACCGTAGGGCCTGTGCACTTCGTCCCCTGAGTGCCCTCTCCCCCGCTCGCCCCAGGCTGGCGCCTTCTCAGCCCCGGCCTCAGCCTTCCCTGACAGCCCCAGCTAAAATCACTGCAGTCACTCTGTGTCCCATCTGTCTACTTCGTTTCTAGCCCCTAGCATTCTGCAGTTCTCTCATTGGTTTGTTAACTGGTCACTGTCGATGAACCCTGCTGGGCGGGGGTCTGGGAGGGTGGAGACCAAAACCATCTTGTTCATTCCTGGGTCTGTCTCCTCCACCAGGCCCTCCCTGCCCCTTCTCAGGCTGGGTCGGGGCCCTGGGCGCTGCCATTTCAGCCTCGCCCTTTCTGGGCCGTCGCTGCCTGGGAGTGAGCCTGTCTCTACCACTGGACTGCCGACCCAGGAGGGTGGTGTTCAGGGCTCAGTCGGGCCCAGCCCCGCACGAGACAGATGCTTAATAAATATTTGTTGCCTTAATGAAGGCTGCCACATGCCAGGCTCCAGGCAACACCAGGGACAGCAATGAATCAGAGCCGGTCAGGCCCCGTGGGAGGTTGCAGGCAGGCGAGGAAACCCGGTTACCCAACGTGAGTGACAAGCAGTGAGAGCATGCCACGCAAGGGTGCAGCAAGCCCGCGAAGGTGGGGAGTCATCATTGCGCAGTGCGGCCAGACTGAGCATGCCCAGGCGATGGGGTCCAGAGAGCAAAGGCCAGGCTCGGAGAGCCAGGCAGGAGCCAGGTTCAAACCTCAGCTCTGCCTCTGCCTGTGGCATGTGGAGCCACCAGCCCTCTCTGAACCTCCGTTTCTTTACGTGTATCAGAAAGAAAGGTCATACTTTGTGGTGCTGCCTTGGGAATAAATGAGGTTGAGAGCCTCGGTGTTGTCCTTGGCTCCTCTTTTTCAACGCCCCATATTCAGTTACCTAGTTCATTCGGTTGGCTTTGTCTTTAAAAATCTATCTAGAATTTGTCTCCTTCTCCCGCCTGCAAGGCCCCGGCCCTGGGCCTGTCCATCTTCTCTCTCACCTCCTGCCTGGTCTCCCTGCTCCTGTTCCCGCCCCCACAGTCTGCTCCCCACGTGCAGCAAACAGACCTGTGGACGCCTGCGTCAGATCTAGTCCCTCCCTGGCCTCAGCCTTCTCGGGGCACCATCTCTCTCAGGGGAAAAAACCAGAGTTCTCCCTGCGGTCCATCTCACATGACCTGTCCCCGACGCCTCCCTGACCTCATCTCCCACTAGTCGCCCTTGGTGGCCTCAGGCCTATCGGGTCACCCTCCCGGGTTGGCACTGGCTGTTCCCTGGGCCTGGGACTCTGCTGCCAGGTATTCACATGGCTCCCTCCCACTCCTCCAGGCCTCTGATCAAAATCATCTTTTCAGAGAGGCCTTTACTGCTCACCTGTTCAAAACGGCATTCCATCCCCCACTTCCCATCCCCTTTCCCTGCTTTATTTTCCTTCGGGCCATTTGGACTTTGTGTACCCTTTATTTCCTCCATCGGAATGTGAGCCTGGGTGCAGGGGTTTCAGTACCCAACACAGTAGTTGCTCATTGCAGTAGTTTGAATGGATAGCAGTTGGTCAGATGAATAAAGGAAGGAGAAATACGTCAAATGCCTCACGCAGCACTTGGAGCTGAGGGAGCATGTAACATGTAGTAGGAATGACAGTGATTCAGGTGAATCAGATAAAGGCCCAACCCTTGGGGCTCCCATTGCTGGGTGCACAGGAGACAAGCACGTACTGCTGATTGCCACACCTGTGACATGTGACAAGTGACAGGTGACAGAGCCGGAGACCCTGAGGCTTCTGGGAGACGAAGCAGAACCAGGCTTTTGGAGGCTACACAGAGGCCTGCCTAGTAGGACTGGGACGAGCGCTCCCAGAGGGGGCATCCGGGCCCAGCGGGGAGAGAGCTCGCCGGTGGCTGGGATCTGTGCAGAGACAAGAGGGGGAAGCTGCAGGTGTCTGGATTCATTTATTAACGTGTCTTATTTACTGACGCCCTTTGTTTCTCAGGTCCGTCAGAAACGGTTTCTGTTGTTTATAGCTGAGAACCAGGAGCCCTGGCCAGTGTGGCTCAGTTGGTTGGAGCATCATCCTGTAGCTGAAATGTTGTGGGTTCGATGCCTGGTCAGGGCTTATAACTAGGTTGCCGGTTTGGCCGCCAGTCTGGGTGAGTGTGATCCCTAGTCTGGGCACATGTGGGAGGTAACCAACCAACCAACCAACCAACCAACGGATGCCCTCCCATCCTCTGTCTCTATAAAGCAGTGAGAAAATGTCCTTGGGTGAGAATTAAACAAACAAAAAATGAGAACCGTGGAAGACCTGTACACTTTCTATGATGCAAGTGTGGGAAACAGTGTGGTGGCCCAGATGACAGTTTTCCTCTTCTGAAGCTTAAATTGTACCCAGGTTGGTAAAGAAGAAACCCTGAAAATGAGCACACCATCACATGGTAATTCCAGTGTGGGATAGTCAAGTTGCTTTAGACATGGTATCCAGGGAAGGCCTCCCTGAGGAGGTGACATTTGAACCAAAAGATTAGGAGCTGGTCAAAGCAAAGACTGGGAAGAGTGATCAGGCGGAGGGACCAGCAGGTGCACAGGCCCTGAGGCAGGGCTGAGCCTGTGTGTGAGAGACAGCCTTGAGGCCAGGCTGGCTGGCATGGAGGGCGTAGAGTTGCCAGGTGAAACACTGGCGAATGTAACTGGGCGCCCAATGAAATGTGGATTTCAGATAAAGAATAAATACAGTAAGTACCTCACAAATATGACATGAGATACACTTATCCTAGAAAATGACTTGGAGTGTGTCTGAAATCCGATTTTCGTTGAACATCCAGTATTCGTACTGGCTAAATGTTTACTGCAATCCTATGGGGGAGCAGGAGAGAAAGTGGAGGGAAGTGGAACGCAGAGGACGGAGAACGCCGGGCCCTGGCTCCCGCGTGCAGGGCACAGCGCGCTGGGGGGCGGGGGGAGGGGCTCCGCTCCCGGCGCAGCGCCCCCTCTTCCCTCCCAGGACCTCCTTCCACGTCTTTGCTGCGACATGTCAGCAAATTAAAAAACAAACAAACAAACGATAATATCCTTATTTTTCTTCAGGAGAGAAAAATAACACTCTCATCGTTGAAACAAGTCCAAACCATGCAAAAATAAATAAATAAAACAGAACCAGAAATTTCCCAGCTGTTCCCTTACTCACAGCTTCTAACTTTGAACATTTTAATATTTTCCCTTATAACCCTCGATTATTAAAAAAATATAGGCACTCTCATGCTCTTGTCAGCAACGCATGCGCTGAAGTCCAAACTATACACAGAAGAGAATAGCATGGCCCCGCACGAGCATGGCATGCGAACTCACGAAGTGGTCCACAGGGCAATATATCCAAATACTGACTGAATATGTTGTACACCTGAAAGTAATATAATGTCATATATCAATTATAGCTCAATAAAAAAGAAAATACTATTATATGATATGGGTGAGTTTGTAACCAGTTTTTCTTTCCCACATAAATTAACATGGGCATAATATGTCCATTCTGGTTTTTTTTTCATTTTTAAGCATAAACATTATTTTTCAAATAGTTTTAGATTCACAGAAAAATTTCAAAGATAGTACAGAGTTCCCATAAGCCCCATAGCCGGTTTCTCCTATTATTAAAACCTTCACCTCAGTAGAATTCATTTGTTACAAGTAAGGAGCCACTATTGATACATTATCTTATTTTTTTAATTTTTAAGTATATTTTATCGATTATGTTATTATAATTTCCCCCCTTATCCCCCTCTCTCCTGCACCCCCCTCCAGCACTCCCCTTAGTTCATGTCCATGGGTCGTACATATAAGTTCTTTGACTTCTCTGTTTCCTATACTGTCATTAACTGTCTATTTTAGTGATACATCGTTATTAACTGGAATCCATGCTTTACTGCACTTTAAAAATGTTTAAATACATCTTGATTAAGATGGAATTTGGTACAATTAACTATACCCTTTCAAAGAGTACAATTTGAGTTTTGACAGATGTACATTCCTATGAAGGAGCCACCCCAGTCAAGATTCTGAATATTTTCATCACCCCAATTTCCCTCCTGTCCCTTTGCTGTTAATCCTTCCCTCGGTCCCCAGCCTCAGGCAGTAACCAATCTGTTCTCTGTCACTAGAGGTTTACCTTTTCCAGAATGCTCCCAGTGGAATCAGATACACAGTATCTTCGAAGCCCTTTGAGATCGGCTGCTTTCGCCCAGCCTAGTACGTGTGTAACCCATCCTTGCCCTGCTTATCCATTGTGCCTTTTCATTGCTGAGTCCGATCACATGGCATGGATTCACTGCAATGCACTTACCCGTAACCAGTTGAAGGACATCTGGGGCTGTTTCCAGTTTGGGCCAATTATGAAAATGGCTGCTGTGAATGTCCCCGTACACTCCTGTGTACACACATAGGTGTCACTTCTCTTGAGTGAATACTTAGGAGTGGAGCTGCTGGGTGCTCTGTGTTCCGCATTCTGTGGCTGCCTGGGTATGTTCCATGACTTGAGCTCTGCCATCACTTTATTTTATGGCATATTATTTATTTGTTCATGTGTTTATTATCTATTTCTCAGGCATTTGTTCTCTGAAAAAGGAGAGAAATATTCAAGAGCCAGGAGTCTAGACCCTGAAGCCCGGCTGCCTGTGTGACTTTGGAGAAGTTACTTAACCTCTCCGTGGTTGTTTGCAGATACGTTGGATGAAGATAAGGTTAGTTGGGTTGTCGCTTAGATTAAAGGAAGTAGTAAAGGGCCTGCTATATACAAAATGCTCAGTAAATGTTTGTAGTTATCACTTTTCAACATGCTTGCCACACAGATGGTATTCAAAGAACATATTAATTAAATGAATTTG